TCGGGGAAACACGGGAGGGGGGGGGGGGGGGGGGGGTCCTTGAATGCAAGGTCATTGAAAAGCAGGTATGAGGAGAAGATCTCCTTTCCAGAAAACAATTGCTACACACTGGGACACATCTGAAGCTCGTCCTTGGAAAACCTCCATTTTTAGAGTGTGTGAACTACAGGCTGGATCCCACCTCTCCAGCCTCTCACCATTGTGCCATGTGAACTGGAAGAACTGACTCGTTGTGCAGGGAACAATGACACCATGTAACAATACAAAGCTTAATACAAGCAGAAATGTATTATCTATTACAATGCAGCAATCTATATGGTTTATAATACAGTAAGAACTGGACGTTATCTGCCTCATGGTGTGAGGACACTGATGAATAGAGGAAACACCAGGAACCAATTGGGTTAGGACAACTAGTCATGTGTAAAAGGGAAAAGTCACGTTGGACAGAAAACCAGTCATGGAAGGTGTAGAAAAAGAAAATAAATCAGTCACGTGGAATGAAAGAACTCGATGAGGAATAGCAGAGATAGGAGATGAAGACAGAAGTGACCATGTAGGAAGAAGAAACTAGACTGAAGACCAGCTAGGTAGGGCAGAGGAACTACATTAAATGATAAAGACTGAACCAGTCATGTAGGAGAAAGAAACTGGGTTTAGAGATTAAGATGGAACGAGTTACGTAGGAAAGAGGTTGGAGATTGAGAGTTGAAGACAGAACTGGCCGCTTAGGATGAAGGAAAGAGATTCAGAGATGACAACAGAACTGGCCAAGTAGGATGAAGGTATGAGATTCAGAGATGGAGACAGAAGCAGACACTTTGAACAGAGGTTCAAGATTAAGAGACGAAGACAGACCCAGCCAGGTAGAACAGAGGCGAGCGGTTCAAAAGTAAAAGCACAGTGACCAGGACGGAGGAACTGGATTCAGAGATACAGACCAGGACAGAGGAACTGGATTCAGAGATACAGACAAGATCAGTCATGTAGATAAAAGGAAGTGAAATCAGAGACATACTTAACCATAAAGAACAGAAGAATGGAAGAAGAACTTAAAGTGACTACCATGGTACCACAGGCTCAGAAGCGTGAATATAGTTTCTTTCCACAGCCCATGTATTGACGATCTGCTGCATCTCTGCTCCTCAGCATGTATTTAACTGCCTCCCACCAGCCGCTGTGGTTTCTTCCACCTTCTCGTATGCCCTGTAGTGATGTACAGGCTGACGGGAGAAACCACAAGGGGCCGATGGGGGAGCAGGTATTTTACGCACCCGAAGGTGTAGACACCGTGGAGCAGAGATGCAGCAGGTTTTCACAGCATGGGCGGCTGGGAAGGTAAGTATAATCGCCCTTCTTTTACAGGTGACACATTGAGTGCAGGTGGCATGGTGGTGGGCCACTTTAAGAGGACCGGTACAATGGCAGAAACCCAGTCCAGAGGTATATAGCTATGGAAGATGGAATGTTAGGCAAACATGTTATCTACTATTTCCCGTCACAGCAGCAAGATTCCTGTTCATTCCTCCTGATGGTCCCTGCAGCCTCAAGGAACAGCAGCATCCATGTTCCTGGTCACTGGAGCAAGGGAAGTCGAGTTTGTATGTCATTTATATTGTAGAAAATATGTCCCTGGATGAGAGGGAGCCGCGGAGTCATCACAAAAATCCCATATCTTCATAGATCAGAGAAATGTCCTTGGAAACCGACCGCGGGTCACTTCTGTTGCTGGTATGAGGCCCGGGCAGAGTCTGAGCATACGTAGTCTGACATGTGCCAGGCGATGGCAGGGATGGAAGAGTGGTGCTCATCTCTGGTACAGTTAATGGCAAAGTATTCCCTGATATGGGTGGTGTTGATGCAGACTGTGGCTTGGCTGGAGGGGGTGGTGGTTGTGTAGCCTGTGGCTTGTTCATGGGCGGGATCAGTGGTGGTGTAGACTGGGGCTTGTTCATGGGTGGGATCGGTGGTGTAGACTGTGGCTTGTTCATGGGTGGGATTGGTGGTGTAGACTGTGGCTTGTTCATGGGTAGGATCAGTGGTGTAGACTGTGGCTTGTTCATTGGTGGGATGGGTGGGGCAGACTGTGCTTGGTGAACCTGAGGAAGGGGTGGGGCAGACTGTGATTGGTAAACCTGAGGAAGGGGTGGGGCAGACTGTGCTTGGTGAACCTGAGGAAGGGGTGGGACAGACTGTGATTGATGAACCTGAGGAAGGGGTGGGACAGACTGTGATTGATGAACCTGAGGAAGGGGTGGGACAGACTGTGATTGATGAACCTGAGGAAGGGGTGGGACAGACTGTGATTGATGAACCTGAGGAAGGGGTGGGGCAGACTGTGCTTGGTGAACCTGAGGAAGGGGTGGGACAGACTGCAGTTGGCTGGTTGCTGACAGAGGTGGTTTAGCACTCTTGGTGTTCCCCGGTTTGATCACCTGACTGTACAATGCCTCGATGTTGCCGTTGTTGTTGTTGCTGTTTGGCTGTATGACGGGACACGGCACCTTTTCTGAATCTCGCTCTCTTCCGGGGGGCTTTGGTAAAATGATTCCTTGAGGCTTTGGTGCCGGAATTGGCTTGAGGCCTCCTCTGCCGCGTGGTTGGCTACGTTGTCCCTGGAAGTTTGGTACCGAGTAATCATCAGTGTTTGGATTGTACGGATATTCATAACCAAGCTTTTCGTCACTCGCGTGCTTCCTCCATGCAGCCGCCTCCATTCGTACTTCTGAGTACAGCTGGGGAGGGTCGGTAGTACGGACTATCCCCTCCGGCTCATCGTAGATATGCTCCTCCCTTCGTGGACGAAGGTTTTTTTCCGAAGAAGCCCCTCCCCCCACCACTTCATATGCTACCTGCTCATACAGATCTGAATATAGCGGGGAGGCAACGTTCTCCTTATTGGGTCTGACCTCTTTGCTGCACACACTGTCCACAGGATCTGAGTAGAGAGGATCAAAATGTCCTTTCGCCTCTTTGACAGAATCTTTAGGCTCTGAGTAGACTGCCAGATGCTCGCTGTCTGCTGAATGATGGGAAACTGGAGAGCGAGGAGGAGTGCTGGATTTCCCTGGCACTAGGGGGTCAAGTAGGTGCTGAGGTTGGGCCACCTTAGCTGCAGGGAGGTTTGGAAGAACTCGACCCTTGAGAGTCTTTTCCTCGGCATCTTTCCTGGGAGCCACTACCAATATTTCAGACTGGCTTAAGTAGAAGTTCTGATTCACGTGGTCTGCAGGGGCCTCTGTGTCCAAGCTGGGGCCACTAAGCCGTTTCTCTGAACCTTGCTGGGCACGGATGGAGGACTCCACCTTCTGGAAGATCTCATGTCCCTGGGACGTCTCAAATGTAAAATTTCCGGGACCCGAGGCACATCGTCTACCGGCTTCAAAGGAAAACATAACCTGGAAGGAGAAAATGCAGAGATACTTATCCGGTGTACAAGGTGAGAGTGAGCACAGAGAAGGTGCCAGCAACTGCAGATCAACCTGAATTCTGGGAACGATTTATCTGCTAATGGTAGACTTGCTCCTCCCGACTGATTACAACCTCTCCTATATTCATGCCCACTGCAACCATAAGGCCCAATCTTCAAATGGAGGCAGCAAAAGTAACATGGACATTCTTATCATTGAGTGATAACATAGACAGCCTGCTATTGGCTATGGAATCCACCCACCGCCTGCTGTCAATCACAAGGGAGATGGACCTGATGGGGAACTAGTCTCTCAGATTTACCCCATCAGGCTCTGCCCACTGTTAGCATCACTGGTTGCCGTAGGCTGTTGGCTTTGCAGAAAGTGACTCATACCCGGCCACATAGAACTGCGAGTCAGGATATTCCCCATCTGAAAGCAGAATGTAAATAAAGGGGTGGGGGCATACCCAGTGATGTCATTACCCAAACATGTCCAACTTTGGTCATTGACACCACAGGGTATACCCCACCCCTTTGTTTACACTTGGCTGTCATTCCTTACTCTTGCTATTAGACCTTTCTGCTGCTTTTGACACTGTGGCTCCATCCCCTTCAGTCCATCATGAATGCAGCTGCCAGACTCATCCACCTAACCAACCGCTCAGTGTCTGCAACCTCCCTCTGCCAATCCCTCTACTGGCTTCCAATAGCCCAAAGGATAAAATTCAAAATATTAACAACCGCGTACAAAGCTCCACAACTCCGCCCCCGGCTATATCTCCAACCTGGTCTCTAAGTATCACCCTAACCGTCCCCTCCGCTCTTCACAAGACCTCCTGCTTTCCAGCTCCGTCATCAACTCCTCCCATGCTCGCCTCCAGGACTTCACTAGAGTGTCTCCCATTCTATGGAACTCTCTACCCCAACCTGTCCGTCTATCTCCCCCTCTGACTGCCTTTAGGCGATCCCTTAAGACTCATCTCTTCAGGGAAGCCGATCCCACCTCAACCTAACCGCTCAACCATCCATCCCCACACAGCTCCCTCCTCATGTATCACTGGCCCCTCCCTTTTAGATTGTAAGCCCTCAGGGGCCGGGCCCTCCTTACCATCTTGTCTTAAATTGTATTGTGACTGTAATGTCTTCCTTATATTGTAAAGCGCTCCGCAAACTGTTGGCGCTCTATAAATACTATGTAATAATAATTCGGCATTAGTGTTCATTGGATGTGGACTTGTCGTGCAGTTGGCTTGGTTTTTCCAGCCACATGGAATTCTATAAAAATGTTGTTGGGTTTTTTTTGGTACGTGTCACCTTACCAAGGTACGAAAAGTTTGCTAAACCCGACCCAAACTGAACCAGAGCCTGTTCTGCTCATAACTATGGAAGAGTGTTGCAGAGGAGCTGGACAATCAATCAAGGTATCTTTGACTGCTGGTCAAGAGCCAGGTTGGACCAAACCTTGCCATGTAAATGTCAGCCTGCCACACTGTTTAAGAGGTCATTTCCCGGAGCTTATTGACAGCAGCTCAGCCAGGCCACTGAAAATAGTCCTAGAAGAAGACGGACTCAAGTTTAGGCCACGGACCAGTAGATTTCATGTCCTTACCTTATCTCTTCCATATCGGCGCAGCAGTTTGTACGGCCACGAATAGAGGCATTCCTTTGTGTCTGCATCTTTCAGTAGAAGGTGATCACTCTCAGCTCTGAGAATATAGGAACCTCTCAGAGAGCAGCGCTCAGCAGCTTCAGTCCTCTGTACTGTCACCCAGAATTCCAACACTGGAGATGGAAAAAAGACACCACCAATGAGGACATAACCCTGAGGCCCCCTCCGTGGACGAGCCACAATTTACTTCATGATCAGCCCAGAGATCGTAGAAAAGCATTGTGACCAGGAAATGGAATCAGAAAGACGGACGGGAAATGATACTATCTGCATAAAATCGGAGGAAAGGTGAGACATATATGATGACACGGTGTAATGAGAAGCTGACACGTGGCACTACAGAGAAGAGTCAGTGTACATAGAGAAGATGAGGTACACACGACGAGATACACTGAGCAGAGGATACGTGGCACTACAGAGAAGAGGCGCTGTATACAGAGAAGGTGAACTACACACAGGATATAATGAGCAGAAGTCAAGTGGCACCATAGAGAAGAGTCATAGTAATGAAGGACTGTCTCACCTTGCTCACGAGACACATAAATGCTGTTTAGCGCCATCTCCAGCGCCGTGCTGTCTGGGGTCTCCTTGCCAGACTTACCACCATTACCATTTCCCTGTGGATGAAGATAGAGAAAGATGACTCTGGAGGTGGAGGAGATGTAGAGTAGAGAGAGGGCTCCGGAGGTGGAGGAGATGTAGAGTAGAGAGAGGACTCTGGAGGTGGGAGGAGATGTAGAGTACAGAGAGGACTCTGGAGGTGGAGGAGATGTAGAGTACAGAGAGCACTCTGGGGGTGGAGGAGATGTAGAGTACAGAGAGGACTCTGGGAGTGGAGGAGATGTAGAGCAGAGAGAGGACTCTGGAGGTGGAGGAGATGTAGAGCAGAGAGAGGACTCTGGGGGTGGAGGAGATGTAGAGTAGAGAGAGGACACTGGAGGTGGAGGAGATGTAGAGCAGAGAGAGGACTCTGGAGGTGGAGGAGATGTAGAGCAGAGAGAGGACTCTGGAGGTGGAGGAGATGTAGAGCAGAGAGAGGACTCTGGGGGTGGAGGAGATGTAGAGTAGAGAGAGGACACTGGAGGTGGAGGAGATGTAGAGCAGAGAGAGGACTCTGGAGGTGGAGGAGATGTAGAGTACAGAGAGGACTCTGGAGGTGGAGGAGATGTAGAGCAGAGAGAGGACTCTGGTGGTGGAGGAGATGTAGAGCAGAGAGAGGACTCTGGAGGTGGAGGAGATGTAGAGTAGAGAGAGGACACTGGAGGTGGAGGAGATGTAGAGCAGAGAGAGGACTCTGGAGGTGGAGGAGATGTAGAGTACAGAGAGGACTCTGGAGGTGGAGGAGATGTAGAGCAGAGAGAGGACTCTGGTGGTGGAGGAGATGTAGAGTACAGAGAGGACTCTGGAGGTGGAGGAGATGTAGAGTACAGAGAGGACTCTGGAGGTGGAGGAGATGTAGAGTACAGAGAGGACTCTTTTCCATTTCTGCATCCTCCCCTTTCCCAATCCCTGCTCTTCCTCCTTTATTTCCCTCCCCCTCTTCCTCCTCTCCTTCCTTCTTCTCTTCACCTTTGTTTCTCCTCATCCTTCCCCCTCCACCCTCCCCTTCTCTATCCACTTTTCCCCTGCTGACCTCCTCCTCTTCCCTTTCTTCCTCCACCTCCTCTGTGTTCTCCGTCTTCACTACTTCCTTCCCCTTCCTTCTCTTACTCCCGCCTCTTCATTCTTCCTCCGCCTCCCCCTTGTCTCCTCCTTCTCATCATCATCATCATTCCTCCTCCCCTTCTTCTTCTCCCTTGTTTCCTCCTCGTTTCCCTTTGTCTCCTCCCTTTTCTCCTCCTCTTACTCTTCATTCCTCCTCCTCATCCCCCTTGTTGTCTCCTCCCCCTTCCTTCTCTTACTCCCTCCTCATCATTTCTCCTCCTCCCCTCTTCCTCGGCTCCTCCCTCCCTTGTCTCCTCCCCCTTGTCTCCTCCCCCCACTCACATGGAATGCGGCCTCGCTCAGGGTCTGCACCCAGTCCTCGCACATCGCTCGCTCTGTAGACAGCAGTATGGCCTTCTCGGTGGTCTCTATGATGAATGCCGCCATGTTGTCCTTGTGGCCGCTCTCTGTCGGTGCCGGAGCCACGCGGATGCATTCCGCTAATCGTATGACTTTACGATCGCCGGCTTTGCGGGTGTGAAATTTCTCTCCAGCCAGCGTACCGTCCTTCCAATCGTAGATCTCCAACCGCGCCACACCGAACGGCGAGTCCGGGTACAGGAAGACGTAACATCGCTTCCACTTCTGGAAAGACAAAATGGAGAACTCTAGTATAGTTCTAGGTGCAGCTGATCCTCGGTGAGGAGTAAAGAGAACCCATCCAAGATCCACATACACCACGTACAAAACTTTGCCACCACCTGCAGTTTGTCAGCTGATTGATCTACTAGGTCCCCATACACACAGATCTCTCGGGGGGGGGGGGGC